AGTATTGGGTGATGTCGCTCCGTTCCGTGCTGCATAATATTTTAGTAAATTGTACGGTGTGTGTTAGACTCGATGCGAAACCGCCGCATCCATTCATGGCCGATTTACCGGGTTCGCGCGTACAGCCGCGTCGACCGTTCGAGCAGGTAGGAGTCGATTATGCTGGCCCTTTACAACTAAAAGAGCTGCGGTTGCGCAAATCGCGTACGTTTAAAATTTACATTGCCGTTTTCGTGTGTTTTACGACTAAAGCCGTCCACCTTGAAGTGGTGACGGAGTTGTCCACTGACGCGTTTTTGGCCGCGTTCGACCGATTCGTCGCGCGCCGCGGGTTACCCGCCGACGTGTATTCCGACTGCGGCACTAATTTTGTCGGCGCTGATAAGCAGTTGCGCGCATTAATACAAAGTCCTGAGGGCCAGACCGCCGTTGCAAATTTTCGCGCGATGTGTACGTGGCATTTTAACCCCCCGAGCGCACCTCACTTTGGGGGTCTGTGGGAGGCGGCCGTTCGGTCTACTAAGAGGTTGTTAGTCCGGGTGATAGGAACCCATGTGTTTACGTACGAGGAGTTCACCACTGTGTTAACCCGCATAGAAGCTGTGTTAAATTCGCGCCCGCTGACGCCCGCCTCGACCGATCCACATGATTTGGAGTGTTTGACTCCCGGGCATTTTTTAATTGGGCAACCGTTACTCGCGGTCCCGCCAAGATCGGGCCCTGAGCCCGTCCGTAACCTTTCTGACCGATGGAAATTAATGGATCAATGTCACCGCGCGTTTTGGCGTCGTTGGTCATCCGAGTACCTAACTACTTTGCAAAGCAGACCAAAGTGGACCGAGGGGGTTCCCAACCTTAATCTCAACGATATGGTCGTCGTGATTGACAGCCAGAATCCACCGTTGTTGTGGCGCCTCGGCCGTGTGACCGAGTTGTTGCCAGGTTCCGACGGTCACGTCCGTGTAGCTCGAGTTCTCACGCGCGCTGGTGTAATGACGCGCCCTGTAGTCAAGTTGGTAAAGTTACCGACCAATGTTTTATCGTAGCACATTTAAGCACTGTGCCCCCACCGGGATTCCCTGTCGCGCCTGGGGCTTTCGACACACCGCACCACTAGCTCGCCATTTATGACTCCGTATGCGTGTTGTGGGATGGCGGTGGTCGGGGGTGCATCCTATGTTCCTTGAATTATTATTTTGTACTACATTTATTAGTTTTATGTGTTATTTATTAATTATTATGTTCTATAATTACGAACCATATGTTCATTGAGTTTTTTTTGTTGTATCTTAATTCTACCTCAACATGGAGTTAGAATATTATTTATAGCTGGCTTAGTATTAAAAAAAAAAAATGTGAACCACTGACTCGGCCTATGGGTCTTAACGTGATGGCTACTGATCGGCAAGGCTTCAGAGGACATCATCGGCTTCCAGTTCCGGTTCTCAAGAATTTACGTGAGATGGCTCTCACGGCGGGGAGGATGTTCGAACGCGGAACGGGTTTGCCGCCAAAACAAAGGCAAAGGCACGGACGCTCCAAGTCGCGTTAGACGTCGAAGCTCCGAGCGACGCTTTCCCCCTCCGTAGTCCCGCGCCGCCGTCGACGGCCGTCGAGCTGGCCATCGGCCGTCGTGAACATTTATAAAAACTGTCTTTTTCCAACGGCTGAACGAAGCGCAACGTCCGCGCTGTCGTTCCCGTGTGTGTCTCGAAAACCTCGTGTGAGCCCGTGCTGTGATCAGCGGCCACGATCGGTACCTAGTACCTACTTTCGAAGTACGTTTTTCTCGCGTTTTAATAGTCGTCGCGGTACGCACTTGTTGCTACATCGAGTGACATAGTAAAAGTCGCGTGTGAACACGCGTGTTTTGTCCGTCGTGATCGACGTGTGACGCTAAGCTCACTTCGAGTCCGTTTTTTCGTGTATTTACGCCGTGCGCGTGTTTTACTCTACCATCCGCGTGCTCGCGAGTGTTTGCCACGGAAAGACGTAAATATATTATTCGAGTTCGCGTTCGCGCTAGTCGCGTGGAACCACGAGCTATCATCGTCGAGCGACGAGCTGAAGATTTGTCCGCCGTCGCCGTTCCGGCGAGGTACCTACTTTGGTCAGCAGTCATCACCAAGGATCGACGCAGTCGCCGAGCCACGCAGTAGCCGTCGTCAGGTTTATTCATTGTTTTTTAGTCCCACGTGTCAGTGGGCTCTTTATATAATTATTGTTCACCAGCTATGGTATTTAGTTGTTATGTTAATTTATACTATATTATTTTGGGCGCCCGTTATTTATTTGTCATATTTTGTTACACACATTAAACGTGTTTCCGACCTCACATTTGAGTTGTACGCACATATTGAGTAACCCGTCCTCGCTCCAGCCTTCAACACTTGACGCGAGTCGTTGCCGACAACCGCACGATTCGTAGGATCGGTAACGGCGCAACATGGTTTTTGCAAATTTCAATTAAATATATTTAAACATAAAATGTCTTGCCAACGTGATATTTTTAATTTGGGATTTCCCTAGGTATGGTTAATATAATGATACACGTTCCCGAAATTTGTTGGACTGTCGTAGAAAGTTCAGATAGATTTTGATTCAACGTGTCATCAGACGTATTATTAATATTTCATTTTCTTTGAAATACCTTCTATTGAATGTAACTTCTTATGAAAGTTTATATTTTCTATTCGTGCATGTGCCCCGATCTTCCTCATTAATATCCAACCACAGTATTTATTTTATTTTTACCAAGATATATACCATAATATAGTCGAAAAGTTTGCGTTCCGTACCATGGTAATTAATTGGAAATAATTGAAGAAAATATTTATGAACATTTTCAGCTTACGATTTTATCTCACAAATGTTTTTGATTTTTTTGTACATATTAATATACACATAAAATGTGAATAATTTCAGGAATACAATATTGTATAGAAAAATACAGTGAGTTTAATCTCTTGTACTAAAAAAAATAAAAATAATATGTGTTCACTCTTTTTTTCCACGAACTTAATATTTTAATATTCATTTTAAAACGAACAAAATTCATTCTGAGTGTTGTAAATAAAGAAAACCAAAATAATAGTTAAGGAATATAATATAATGGTAAATTGTAATTAAATGTACGTGGCGCAAGTAACTCAACTATTGACATTTATTTTTTGATAAAGAAATAAAAATTTTAACAAAGGGAAAGGCTTTGGAAATGACATATTATTTATCGTAACTATTTTATTACAAATTGTCAGTAAAATAAAATGACATGAACAATATTTTCATCGTTATTGAGAAACTTAATATCAAATCCTCTAATAAATGACACAAAACGTTAACAAATTTAATTACGTAAACATTTAATAATTTTACGAGGGATCATTATTTTCAAATATATTATAGGTCTTAACATTTGATGTATTTGGCAAAAATAGTTTCACTTTCGAAAAAAAAAACTATAATTGTCTCAACCAATATTTTATTTTCAAAATTATTAATTATTTCTTTTATTTTCTGTGACATAATGACATATATTACAGTGTAGGTACCTATGTTATATTTGTATACGTTCCCATAACAATTGTATTTTAAATTCTATAAAATATAATGTTCAATTAATAGTATTCCTCGTATAGTTTTAGACGTAATGGATCAAGAAAATTCTAGGTTTTGAGTTTTTGGAGTATCTATGGTACATTATTTTTATACGGATATTAAATACAATTTTTAATGGAATAAAAGAATGTTTCAAAAATTATATTATTCCCGCGAGAATGTGAAAGTTTTAATGGCTTTTTATTCGTGACATTTTTTTTTACGCCAAGTAGTAGCTGTGCATGGGGTTTTATGGAAAATTACCACGTTGCCCTTAAACGAAATATACAGTGACCGCGTACACAAACACACATCTATGTGCCAACTAACCGACAACTCCATGTTATTAAGAATGTGTACGTGCCAAGTTTAATAAAATTCCGAGGTCTGATTTACCAGACTTTTTCACGTACGTTACCTCATATTATAGTTCATACAGAATAATAAAGGGTTTTATGCTCTATAGTCTATATATTGTATTCCCGATAACAATCAAGGGACCGAATTCATTGAATAATAATAAAAAGAAAAATATATTTATATGTCTATGTACTGTACAACGTAAGATGCTTACTACGTTTTAGCCGGCGAGTATAAAATAAATCGATTTTTCTTGTTTGAGGCTTATAACGAGTTTGCACGATTAAAGAAACGCATAGCTAGCAAATTTAGTCAGCTGCGGATCGGTAATGATAGTAATAATATAATGAATAGCTACCACCGTAGGGCAGTTTACTATAAAAACCAAAAACCATGTTGACTTACTTAGAGAATTAAATTATAATTTTAGACTGGTTGGCGGTTATTAAATTAAGCGTTATTACATATTTAATAATGATTGCGTGCGTATAATACGATATAAAATGTTTACAGTAAACACGTATGTTGTTTGTATAGTTTAATAACATAGGTAGGTATAAGAGTTCTACAATCTCTCGCATTATCTTATACATTAGAAGAACATTAACATAATTTCATTAGCCCCGGGCATAAATCGTCTGCCCGCACATGCTTACTCGCCTTGTTCCAGATCTGGGCCAAGGATCGTTGTTGGTTGTAGCTATATGTATTTATTCAATGTTTATATATATATTTTTTAAGTCCCTTGTGAAGATTGCTTACGAACCTTTACGAAAAAGTCTTTCTGGCGATCACAACCAATATTTATGTAGGAATAAAAAATGTCAAACAATCTGGTGTACCTAAACATATTCATTTTAACAGGCTGACTTTCGTAAAACTCGTGTTTAACAGCATACTTATTAAATATTCTTATAACTCCACAGTTGCGAGTTGTAACATTATTCAGAAGTTAAAGATTGTTTAACATTAAACATCATATTTAGACAATATAGACATTTCTTAGTACGTCAGATTTATAAATAATGAGCTAATAATCATACCTTTGAAATACTGCAACTTCCTGCGTTACTCGAAATGTTTGATTTTACTTTTCTCCTCCCCGTACAATTTACAATTACAAATTCTACGAAACTGGCAAACACAAAGCACATACAAACTCCGTCCCAAACATTCATAGCAGTCAAATTAGCTACGTCGGGCAATGTCCGGCGGAAACTGTTGGAGGTCGTAAAGTAATTCAACATTGTCGTAACGCCTGAAAATACGTAAATTTACATTTGATTTAGTATTATAATTCAATATGAAATCATGAAATATGATAAAAATAAAAAAATAATAATGACCAATAATTGTCCTCGCTGGTACTGCGTCCCATTCTAGGAAAAATGTGATAAATGATGAGGTGACTAAAATTAACCCTGGTATGAAAATAGTAGCGAAGTAAAACGTTCTATCTCTACTAAATATCAATTCCACTTGTAGACAACTGTAATTACCTGGAATATGTGTATGTATAAAAAAAAAATGTTTTATTTAAAATATTGATTACAGTAATACGTTGCTGCATTTAAAGTGAAACACTACAACACGAAAACAAATTTAAAACAAAAACAACATACAGTATAATATAATAAAAAAAAAAAAAAAATGAACCCAGATAATAATAGTGAAATATAACGTAATATTATAAATCATATTAATATTATATTATGCGTATGTCTAAAATATGTAGTTTAAAAACGTTTTGTATTACCTCTCCAACTCCCAGTAGAAGCACATTCATAAGTTCGATTTCGTTCCAAGTAAGCATTAGAAGTTTTCAGATTATGTGACTTTATTAAGACAAAATTATCGTCTTTCCAGACATACTTTAAATCAGACTTCTCATACGATACTGTGAAAAGAAAAGATTTAAAATTAAAAAAATTAGTTGAGAAAAAATATTATTTATTTATACCTCTACCTACCGTCAATCGATTAAAATCACCAAATCCCGACAACATATTTTATCTTATGCAAGCACAACAAACATCATTACATCATCACAGATTATAATATATAACCAGATGGTGCACTTCTGCATTTACTGAACTCGAACCCTCCTCAATGCAGAAGGACTACATGTGAGGAATAAATTATTGTACAACACCTTTACTATAATTATTGTATCAAATAATTTGACAATGGTTAGGAATATGGTGCGAGTGCTAAATATCAGTGATGCGCACAGTTAATAATCAATAATTTCTCATAAAAACAAAATTTGTCTCTCATTGGTGATACTGATTTGAGGTATGTTTTGATTAATTTATATTTTTCAGAATTACATGGCTTTAATAGGAATTAGGAAGCGCACTATCTGGTTTTATATAATCTGTGTAATCAGCATAGTAGGTAACAATTATTTTCAATGACAAGCAATACATAAATTATAAAATGTAATATGATATAATGAACTATCACAAATATCACAACTAAATTAAACACTTCGTCGAATTCCATGTAAAAAATGGCTAGGTAAGTAAAAAAAAAAATCAGTCATTTATAAGATCTTTAAGCACTATAAAGCTGTGATATATTATTATCATGAATAAATGCTAAGGAAATTGAATTTATGTAAATTTATTTTGTTTCAATAATTTATTAACTTTGGGAGAAATTATATACTATTTATATTTTATATGACACGAAAGAACGTGAACAAAATAAATAAAATGCATTAGAACTGCAGTACAATATTGGACAAATCTATACTTGTCAAAATAATTTCTCGCCATGTAAATAATTTAACTGTTGAAATAAAATAAGTGTACTTTATTCAAATTTACTTAGAGTTTATTCATGATATCACATCTTTATAGTGTTTAAAGATCTTATAAATTACTGATCTATTTTTACTAATCCTTATTTTCATGGAGTTCGACAAAGTGTTTTTTTCAACTCTAGTTTCTGTCATGCTGCTGCTATTTATGGATTTTTTACTTAGCTCGCGATGGATATGAATTGGTATTGTTTTCGTACTAACTTATAACCAATATTTTAAGCCTATTTTAAATAATACTTTACACGAATTTAATATGAATTGTTCCGTTTTTGTTGATCGATCGTTAAGTGTAATGTGTACCCACGTGCGTTATAATAATAATTGGAAATATTTTTATCCGACACGCATGTTACTTATTAATTTATTGTTATTATTCATTCTTGTACTTACTGCTTTCCATGGAAAATGTACAAAGTGGTTGATCGAATGGGAATATGTTCATCGATCCTTCGCAAACCAACATCAGATGACGTCTATGAGAAAAAAAATTATAGTAATTTGAAATCTTTATCAAAAAATTATTTAACAAAGGTATAATATATTTATCTATTTTGTATATAAATATTTATTATATATATTATTTTATTTGTTTACAGCGGGAGAATATTATTAATTATTTAGAATGTTATAACATACTACATACCTATTCAAAATTTTATTTATGGAAATGTAATGTGCGTAAATGAACTCAATTATAATACATATATTATTATATTGCCCTTATTTATTTGTCCAAGATTTTTTAATATGTTTAATATTTCAACCTATATTTCAATGTATAATTATATAGTCTGAAGCTGAAAACTTTTAATAAACTCTTGATTTATAAATATTGAATATTCTAAGAATAAATTTAGGTACCTTGCGTAATTAATAAAAGCGTAAAATGTTGACGAAGTGGAAAGTTGCAGGTACCTACTACACATTTTGCGAAGTACCCATTACCCTTCTCTTAACTAAACATCAAAAACTTAATCATAAAAAAATAACGTTCGTTCGATATTCACTATTCATATTTAATTGTTTTTTGAAAATATTCCGATTCAAATTTTGGAATTAAAGACGTAAGCTAAGAAAATTAAAAGTCGCAATATAGGTATTTCTTGACGACCTTTTTCCTACCAATAGGTTTTTGAAAGAAGAACAACAGTATAAAAACTAAATATCGAAAATCTTGTTTATATTTTTGAGATTTACGAGATAGTTAACTGTTGAAAGTTTGACTATATTATATAATATATAAGCCATAAGGGCTGTCATTTTGCTGTAAAGTGTTGTGATAAAGCTCTTCAAGTGGAAAATGCGTTTTGGGCGATACTGATTATCATTTATATATATTTTTTTTTCACTAACAAAATATATAACATTTTATTTTATAGGATTTTTCAAGTTTTAAATAATTTTTTACAAATCGTTGTGCATTTATTTATTGTTATAATAAAACAATGCTCTTATCGATAAGATTACATGATGGCCAGATTGTAGCTACTGTGTGTAAGACGTTATAAAATACTCTTTGATCGCCAATCTCGTGTTATCTACAAGTTAAAAAGACAATAAAAATATGTCTCTTTTAGTTTTCATAATTTCTTCCATAATTGAAGTCAGTGCTTGAATTGGAAAAAAAAATAGAAGGGGTATGCAAAAGTATAAAACATTTGTGCGTCCCCCCAACATTTAAATGTCTTATCAATTCTTGAAATTAGAAGGGGTACGCTAAAATATTTTAAAAATAGAAGTTGGACTCCGTCCCCCCGCGCCCCCCCCCCCCCCCCCATTCAACCACTGATTGAAGTATAATTAAAAGTACACTTTTTTACTTTTAAGGTCTTAGAAATAAATTTTAAATGTATTTTTTAGATTTTTAAGTAATTTTAATTTTGTATGACTTTTAATGGTTTTTAGCGCATTCCAGTCCTATACAATATATAGGTGTATAGATGCTAGTATATAAAACTCTACAACTCTACCTGGTTGTGTACTCAACTCGGCCGTCATTGTACACATTCAGAGTGAACCTTATAGGCCGCTGGCTTGGCTTAAAGTCACCGTGCATGTGAAAGTTCGTGTCAGGCAACCATATGTCACCCTGATGGTGAATGCCGTTCAGAACGCTGAAAGCTGTCTGATTTGGATACTGCAGCCTTGAGTCGTACCATTCTTGTTGCAGCAGAAATTCGATGTCATATTTCTGCAACAAATGACTTGAGTACAATCACGAATATACATTCTCACCTATACGGCGCTTGACTTTTTAAAAAAAATATCATTCTTTGGCACATTAGTGCACCTCTAATTGCCCCCTCAAAAGTTTTATCACAAACCATCGAAAATTTTAGATATAAAACGTGATTCTTCGACAAAATAAATAGAATACCGGTATACTTTTCTGAATATCGACTATGTTGATGATTTTTGACGGTTTATGACTTTCGTATCATAAGTAACTTAATTTGACTAGTTCCATGGAATTATACATTTTAAAAACTAATGAATAAATAATTGGCCTTTTTTAAAATTGTTTGAACTTAGAAAATGGAGGGGTAGAATGCTACCTATAAAACATTATACTGACGCGTACCAATTAAAACAAAAATAGGGATACGCAAAAATATCTCAACATTTTTCTCAATTTTTCTCTGTTCTCCCGTATGTCCTTACCATTAGTAAAGCACTGCACCTACCTATACACAGTCTTGCGTGAGTCGTTAATTGCACATACCTGCTGTAAGTATATCATATTATACACGTCGTAAGTACACCGGTCGGTCGTGTTTCATAAATAACGGAAAATATCATATACGTATAAATATTACGTATTATGTACGTCGTGTATAATGCGATGATAGTGCCGACGGGGCCGTTATGTAAATTATTCCTCGGGGTGCTAAAACGCACTAAATGACTCTCGAGTACTTGGCAAATGGCCCGAATTCGGGCTGTGGTGACGGTAGACGAATAGTTCATCAGTGTTTAAAGCACGCATGTTATAGGAGTTTCCATTGTCCGACGTGCAGTGCAAAAACGTAAAACACCGTATTCACCGAAAGTATAATATAAACCATTTAAACGCTGTTGTCGAACAGAACTAAAACGAAGGGTCACACAATTACACGGAAATAGCGTGTACGCGCGTCGTATTTGGAGTTGATTCGGAATCTATGTATTTCTGCATAAAAACCAACTCCCCCCCCCACTACCACCCTCGATCAACGATATTGTAAACGACTTTATCAAAAACTCGTTACCAGAGATATATGGATAATGTTTTATAGCTCAAACGTTAGACCGTGTTATGTTTATTTTTCGGTTGAGAAATATTTTTCAAAACTGTCCAAAAATAGTATGTTAGCTATGTAATTTATTAATATTTTCTCACTAACACAATTTAGTCATTATTATTATTTAGTTTGAATGAATTGTGAAAAACGCTAACCACCGACTATTTATTGTAGAAAATTTGTTAAAATATTTTTACGACTGTGAGCTAAAATTGGTAAGATTGGTGCCCTTCCATCCACGGGCAGACAATTTCCCACACCCATAATAAGTTCCACCTGCAGTGGTATAGCAATTATTCTCATTCACTTTTGTTTTTCTAAGAATACTTTTTCGAAATAGAAGAATTAGTGAAAAATAAATAAATTATCACTATTATCAGATATTGCACTAAATGATGTGTTTACTAAATTTTAAAGTTTTAACCGACTACTTGGTAACGAATATTTATAGTTGGGTGATTGGCTGTTCAGTACGCTATAGTTCAGAAAATTACGAGAAAAAAACAGTTCACTGTAATAACAGCTCTAAATTATTGTTTAGTATTCACAATGCAGCTACTAAAATCACTATACATTATAATGGTTCATTATGGGTTACATTTAAATATTATAATTTATGCACTAATTTGATATGGTATTTAACATAGATTTATGGTTAGTATCTACACCTTCATTTATGAAACAAAAATACAAAATACCACATCAACCATACGGTACATTTTAATTTTATATAATATTATGAAAAATGTCAAAATCGTGCATCTTAATAAATATAAAAAAAAAAATAATAATTAGTAATTTACCAAACTTGATTCATCGGGGGATGACAATGTAAATAACACTACGCTTACATTGACTATTGAAGGACCTGTAAAAATATAATAAATTATAATAATATTGTTCATAAATATTTAATACGTCTTATATAATTTAAATGAACTCTAAAAACTTTTACTCCCTTTGAGGTTAGGTTAGGGTTAGGGTTAGGGTTAACTCGACTTGGGTATCTCGATTCTAGAATAATACATCTCTGGAAGCTTTTTTTTTAATCTCCCTTCGACTTCGAGTTATGGTGACTACTGTATTTGATAATGTACTTTAGGACCTTAAGTACCTACCTACCTACCTATCTAATAATATTGTTGTACAGAATATTAATTTTAATGTTCAACATTAATTTACAAACTAATGTTAGTAAATATGTAAATTAAATTTAGTAGGAACTGTAATTTTGATAAAATATTATGCGCTTTAAGTTACACGATAAAAAATGATACTCAATAAATCTTAGTTTGTGACAAATCAAATCGAATATTATAAATTAATTTTAGAATTACTTTTTTGTCGTTATCATACTTATAATTATGTTAAATTTGAAATACATACATGAATGGTAAGGGTAACAGGTATTGCAAACTGCAATAGCTTACATGAGTCTTAAAAATGTATTTATTCTAGGAAAATATAAAAACAATAGAAGCTCTTAGTGTGAGGCCATCTTGCGACTACACCACCCAACTGAATTATTATTAAATCTTAAAAATAAATTAAAATTAATAATTGAGTATTAGGCGTGAGCGTGTGACGTGTGACATTATATTATAATCTTAGGTACATGTAGGGCTGTTACAACTTTATAATTTAATTATATTTGATAGCCTGATAAGCTATTCGTCTTGTTCACATTTGCAGGTATGATGAATTAATCTTTTAAAATACTCGTGTAATATGAATAGTTAAATTAAAAAGTATAATGTTTATACCTATACTAATGATTAAATCATAAATACATATATATTGTCTAAAATTATCAATTAGTATAATGCATTCAGAAGTCCAATTAATAATGGTTAATCGTATTATGCATTATGCTTGAATTAATCGCACTGGCGATAACATAGTAATTAATATTGTATATATAGGTTAGGTAGGTATCTAATAATAAAATTTTAAGTATAGTTAAGGCTCTACATATAATGGCTATGGCCACCATTCCGAGACTCATTTATCAATGATAAAATGATAAAATAAAGGGGGAGAAATTCATATTCACAAAAGATTATTGGTCGCAAAATGGTGGCGTGGTATACCTGTATCTATAGTGCCACAGTATAGTCTATTATTGCCGCCACTTTATGTGGGTATAATATTATTGTGGTGGGTTGATCGTTATTTTTGTATACCTTAATTTATTTATATAGCTGATGTTTGAAAAAAATCATCTGCCGGAAAACCATTCGTATGATCAGTTCGAGTGGTATACATTTTTTACAACAACTTTGTGAGTAGGTACATAATATTTTGTTATCCACCTCGATAATAAATAATAATACAATTAATATTATTTAATATTTCTATTACGGCATCCGCGGTTCGTTGCACAGATTGTATGATGTAACTTAATCATCTTTTTACGTTTGACTGGCTATATAAATTCGTTAAAAGGTACAAACTTGTATGCGTATGATGTAATATTTATAAATAAAGTATGCGTTTAACTAAACTTTTTGACAGCTCATATAATATCTGCAGAGGGAAAATACACACCTATTTAAATTATTAAACTCGTAATCATAATTAACTTTTTATGTTTTATCAAAAGTATGAGAACTACAGTATTGGTTGCAGTAAATGGATTAAAAATGTATGTTTCTCTAACTAAATTACGATTTTAAAAATTATTTATATTAAAATCGATCGTGACCAAATTTAAAATGTACAATCTACTTACAAGTTACAACTAACTAAATATTTTGAATTAAAAATAATAATAATTTAACTAATTCTCTAATTAAACTATTGAGTCTCGTCCGTATAAATTGTACTAATTTCATAGGTAAAAAACCTAAAAACCATATATAATTATTACAATATGCTTACCATATGACGGTGGTAATAGTCGCTTGTCATAAATTTCGGTATTCAATAGATGATCAAGTATATGTTTGTCGGATTTTCCATTTTCAAATCTAAACACAATGTATATATTTCTATCAGTCTACTGTCTACTTATATCTAAAACAATTTAATCGATTATTGCATCATTAAATATGTATTATTTAAAGGATAAAAGAGCTATAAGTAAATGTATTAAATACATTTAAAAAAAAATTAACAGTCTGCCTTTGAATGAGTTTTAATTATTTTATAAAGTCAATGTTGGATACTAGGTACCAGGTAGTAAAGAGTTATATTTTTGAGATTGTTCTGTATTGTGCGAGGGCCTAGGGGTACATCACCAAGTTACTATCCATTTTGTATGGGTTGTAAATTGTAATATTAAATTCGAAACCGATTTATTGAAATCACATTCTAATAACAAATTCCATTGTTACTATTAAAGAATAGATATAATGACTGTAATTTAAGAAACCTAAATTAATAAAAGTACTGTTTTCGAAAAATTACTGACAGGTACTTATATAAGAGATGTATCAAAACAAAATAACTCAACATCACTATAAACGCATTAAACCGTCCTTGCTCTAATAAATATAATACAAAATGAAGATTGTATAACTGATACAAGAAGTAGAACACATAAATAGTAATTTTGATATTATTAAATTGACTTGGAGCAGCGCAGTGGCTGAAATTAATCACGCGACGTGATTGAGAGTAAGCAATAGCCGCTGCTACTAGTTCCTGGATGGGTGACCACCATGATGGGTCCATAGTGACAAAAACCTTCCCCACATACAAGTGTTGCCAACCACAACCGTACTAACCATACCAATCGTAACCCCTAAAATAACTAATGGCCACAGTTGCCACGCTCTAGGCCAATAAAAAAAAAATAAAAAATAGTTTCCTTTAAGCGTTAATAGATATATTAATTTAAATTGTATCATCATTCTACCCAATGATATAGATATTCCAAATAATTACCTACTATATTAGTGTATTTAGTTATACATTTTCTAATTAACTCAATTTTTAATTGTTTTCATTTTGTTTACAAAATGTATTGAATATCCTAGAGGTAAATTACTAACCATTAAATGTCAAAACTATATAATAGGTAGGTATCATGAAATATAATATGAACAAAATTATAAGAAGAATTTTAAATTGCAAACGTAGTGGTAATACACCTCAAACATTTGAGATTTATTACCCTTTTTTGAAGAAATAGCAACTGAGTATGGTGATATTCCATTACATTGTGATGCAAGTAAAATGGCTAAGTGCAGTTAATTGTTTAAAGTGGTTTTTTTAAACTAAGAAAATAAATTATGATATTCCTTAAAAATATATTTTTTTAATTCTCTTTCTTTACTGATTTAAAAAAATTTAAATGTTAACATTAACATTAGTCGTTAAAATATACATATAATAATACATTATCATCATAATTATCTTCATAGTATTTGTATGATAACCACACTTTCACATTTTTAAATGATATAAATTCCAATTAATAACAATAATAAATATAAATTATAATTTACATTTATACTTAAAAAAATATTTTTAATTTAATATTATGCTTATGTATGTATTAGTTAACTAACTTTTTTTTACTATTATATTAATTTTAATGTATACATCGGCCCGAAAATCAAAAAAGGTGGACTATAAGTATTGTGTTGTATTAAGCTATATATTAAAATAAAATTGTTTTTCTCGGAGAATTACATTTTTATATTGATCATAATACCATTGTAATATGATATTATATACAGCCATACAGGGTGATAAGCTGATTTACCAAGTATGCTCAACCCCTATTTTCGTTTAATAATTATTTTATTCAAACTCTTTTTAGAATTTTTAAATTTACTCAAAGACCATACTTCCGAATTCTCGATATTTTTTGTACTAGGTTTTTATTAAAACAAGGTTTTTGTTACTGGTAGATCCATCATGGTATTCACCCATCAAGGAACTAGTAGCAGCGGCCGTTGCTTACTCTGATTACGTTGTGTGATTGATTTCAGACATTGCGCCGAGCCACTAAAACTAATTTAATAATATCAAAATTACTATTTGTGTGTTCTGCTTCTTGTTCTATAAATTATACAATCTACGTTACACTACTTAAGACATTTTCTGTGGTGATACAAACTTCTGTTTTCAAATTAGGACCCTGTTTTTACTGTAAATTATTAAGTGTATAATTTTTTTTTTTTAAATAATGAAATATTTAATTCAAAATTCAAACGAATATTTCCCATTAAAGCTATAGGTAGGTAGTATTTATCTATACTTGGACCATACTTTATAAAACTTTTAATGTTGATGCATTAATATTAATCGCTAAAATGTTCAATTCATCATAGGCACCATATTTTCCAAACCCATTATGATAGACCTATTATCCTTATATCTATATATAAATATATAAATTGTAACATATACCTAAATTTGTAATTACTTACTTGAATGGTACTTCTTTAGGCTTCACTGATTCTGAACATTTCGAAATTGATACGCAAAGTATAGATACGTACAGTAATTTGGAAAAGTTCATCGTCCTAAGATAATAAGTAAAAATAAAAAAATTACTTACAGATCAAATTTGTATAGTTATTAATTAAGTTTTTGGTAAAACGAGTATCTTCATCACATTAGTACAACTGTGATATGCACGAAATACTTCGTTTTTATAATACAGTCACGTTCGTATAATTGTTACATGTATACACACATATTAAATTTAAAATAATCAGTCAGTTATTGATAAATTATGAAACATACGAATTACTCAAAATTCTTAGAAACGACCATTTATCAAGCTTGTTATCTATTACCACAAGTAGAATATTATTAATATACCACAACACTTATTATACAACTGATATGATATGATATGATCGTACCGAAAAAGTATTATATTTTAATCAATCAGCTTCTAAATAATTTGAAATTAGTGTAGTATTAATTACATTATAGGTAGATAGATAAATCAGTACGTGATAAATATTCGGTCGATTTCGATATAAATATGCCAATTTTATGGCAACAGAATGACAAAACAATTTACACTATAATAACGTTTTTGTGTCTACTATATTTGTTTGACTATATTTATTTAAAAATATTTCATCTTTATTACTTCACAGCAATCATCATTGAATAATTTAATAAGGGAACTACCAATAGATTATTTTCAGACGTTATTATTTATTTGTATCAACTTCAACCGAAAAACTATATGACATAATAGTAAATTACTTAAATAAAAATTAATTTACATAATAAAGAATATCTTATTATTAGTAGACAAATCAACACTCGTTAGCAATAAGATTATAACAATTAGGTATTACATTTTCTCATGATTTTTTCTTAATTGTTTACAATGAATATCAGCGAACCATGTTTTATTTTATAATAGAACTTACTTTTGATTGAAATTATTGATAATCGTACAAGCCATGACTAATTATTTTATAAAAGCACCCAAATTTTGTTTTACCATTAAAACATAATTTTCTTCTTAAGCTCGGTTAAAACCAACTCTCTCTCTATATACGTATATCAAAATTATATATATTATATATTTAATATATATATCAACATTATCATGTCGTATTGTCCTTTACTTTCTATTCACGGGCATTTCTTTTCGAAGGTCTGCATTATTCTCTTAGCTATCCTTCCTCTCTATATCCAACTATATTATATTCAACTTTTTAACATATTTTCTTCCCATTATTCTGCGTACAATGATTTCACACATTTAAAACTTTATCCTACTTTTTTAAATCGTATAAATTCATTCATAAATAAGTCATTTTTTGTTTTAATATTTAATATTTTCCATAGTTATAATTTAATATTTTATTATATTCATAATTTATTTTTTATTTTTAGGCAAATTTGATTCAATTAAACTATATTAAAAAATATATATAAATAGACTTATTTCTATAAAATTACAAGTATACCCACAGGAGAATTATTTTAACTATATAAACACTTTTTATTTGAATAAGTATAAATGTAAATATTTTTTTCACATAAATAGGTATTTATTTTTAAGTGATTTTATTGATTACCTAACTACTTGGTCTTTTTGTAAAAAAAAATATTCATATAAATTGTGACATTTTTATTTAATTAAACGGCCATACATATACATTTTTAATTTTCTATTTCAAAGCAGAACATTTTTGTGAGATTTAAATTTTATAAAAATACAATTTGGACAAATAGTAAACAATGTTTAACAGTAGATACCATAGATAATACATAATGGATCAGCCTATCCATTATATATTATCCGTGATAGTAGGTACCCATATAAACTAGTTTAGATGTAGTGTGAATTGTAGTCAGCATTTTGTGTGGTAACCCTGTACCACTCAGTTCTGAAAATGCCTTAAAAATAATTAAGTTACAAATAGTAAAAAAATTATTTGAAAAAAAACATTTTGTTTAATACAGCTTCAAATTATGTGGGAAAAATATTTTCAAAAATGTTAATAGCACTTGATTTTTAAACAATGAGTGTTAATTACTAAAATAATCAACCTGAATAATCATTATAATATACAAGTGTAATCAAGTCATTTTAATATTTGGCTAACTTTATACACAATATATAACTGTACCTATAAGATGGTATTTTATTGGTTGGTTTGATTCTCATCTCCGTTCGACCCAGTTATTCGCTCGAAACAATACACGAATCGTTATATATATTTGTCGTTTCTTCGCGTTTTTATATCACAATAGTTCACTGATTCAAAAAATATCGTCTTTTTTGTTTGGAAACTAGGCAATGTAGGACGTGTACGAATAATACATTCGGAATGAGCAACGTTCATATTATGACGTATTATAGAGAGAAAAAGAGTCCTTTGAAACCAACCACACTTCGTATGCTTTTATATTGCTCATTACACCCGCCAAAAGCCCGTAATTATTAAACGGGTGGCCGTTCTCTAGAGTTTTTACACTGATGCACAGTAAAGGACTTTTGATGTGCATGTTTTTAATTCTTATATTTTTTTGTTAATAACCGTCACTCGCGAATGCAAATGTGCAAATTTTTCTCCATAACGATTCACAATGCATGGTACATATCAGGATATCACATACATTAAGATCATAAGATTCACATGCATCGTTTAAACAACGGCCGAGGTTAAATATATGTCTTACATACCTATAACCACTCTATATTCTACCTATAGCTACTAAAAAAAAAAACCACTGTAGTCAGGGTTACCAGTTACTACACTGTAATGAAATATATACGGTCCACGGGGTTCGTGTCGTACTGACGTCGTCGCATATTCCAATAATCCAAGTATGATAAATACGACTGCGATCAGTTAAGTACTTGTACAATACAACTTATGAGTAGGTACGGCGTTTGATCATTAATTTTTAAAATGTAAACACAAAAATAAAAAACCTTGTGAGCTGTGCTTGAGCAGATAAGAATATTGTTCTCGATTATTTCTCTTAAATAAATTGTATGTAGGTATAACGACTGATGGTAATACAACTAATTTAAATAATTTCAACCACCGTACAAATGTACTGCTTGCACCATACTAATTACGTGAAAAAATTGCATACTTGTAAATTGGCTAATGTAGTGTGACCATACATTCTGTTTTATACAGAATTGTCCTTTATTTCGGCTTTGTGTCCTGACAAACATCTCTTAGGACGCTTTTTGTCCCATAATTTCAAGTCTGTCCCATATTAATCCCGCTTTTTTGCCTTACTGTTAATTTATAATTTTTTTAATTTTTTAAATTACACTATTAAATAGAATAATTTAGGAAGTGTCACTACTGGGTGGCTTCTTCCAACAACTCATTCACGCCTTTTTGTAAATTAGCCCATATCCTTATTGTGTCTCTGGGTACAGATGGTATATTTCTTTAAAAAAAAAAAAAAAAAAAAAAATAGAATAATATAAAAATCTGTACTTTTCAATTGTATTTTTGGATTTTTGTTTTTATCATTATTATTGTTGCATCACATTGTTGTCGGCGACGTACACCGTATGTACCTATAATAGTATATTTACCGACCGGAGCTACCAGTTCGTTATCAAATGTGAGCATATTGCGAAATAAATACATATTAATAATAGCCTATAAATACATCCATGTCGTGCACAAGCGTTATCTTATCGGACAACAAAAAAATATAATAAATACTTATTAATTTAAAAATATTATATATTAAATTATTAAAATATGATAATATGATCATGTTTTTTTTTAAATATAGACCTAGCCTAATGGCTTCTTCAAAAACTTACTTGCTGACCAACATTTTTAATTTCCATTTACGAAATAATTTGTTAGTAACATATTGAGCATTTAACTATAAATTAATTGTGGTATCAAAATTATTATTATTATTTATTTTAGACTGTGAGAGATTTTTATTTCAGATTCTGTATTGGTTTTACAACTGTATGTTTATTTTTATTTTTTATTTTTTTGTTTGACATCGCGTTTTGGAGCAGAATATGGTTATATCTCCTGATCATTTCTCGTCAGATATTATTTACCGGACCAAATATTGGGTCACCTAAATATAGTAATATTAAAAATTAAAATCATTCTAGTCTGCAGTATTGACTTATAAGTTGCTTGCAATCTTTTTTTGAACAATTTAGTTAAACTCACGAATTTATAAAAAAAAAAACTAATAAAATTATAGTAACGATGCATCTTAAACCATCCCCAGAAAGGCAGAAATAGATACTGCAGAGACCGTTTTTACGGGTTTAACTAGGCAAAATAAGAATCGATGAGCCCATGTTATCTTGGTTATCCTCAATATTAAAATATAACGTTCTAAATTCATAAAAATAAGTAATATTGTTTAAGAGGAAATTAAAACCACTTTATGGTGTTCCTACAGTCTACACTCATCGTCCACTTATTCTTAATGTTCATTAATTACTTGAGCCCAAGTATTTGAATCCTATCAGATTCTTCTGTTTACAGATGATCCAAAATGAGTGTACAAAAGGATTTATGTGATGTGGAATTATTACAATCAGACCTCACGAGTGCGTGTCGTTAAGTGATGTGAAATAAATGGTCTCAAATTAATTCTATCAAAATGTGTGTGTATATCGTTGTGTATTGACATATTGTGTACAGAAAACGCTATACATTAGTTTTTGAGTACACAATTAATGAAAATCCTTTCTAGCTAGTGTTTACCAAGTCCGAGATCTCTTATTAAATTCTAATGTAATTACGTTCATGGACAGCATTTAAGAATGATAGGAATGTTGAAGACAAGCTCACAAAATCACAAGTCCTTACCTACAAATAAAAATAATTTTTTTCTTAGACAAAAAGTGTTGTATTAAATATTAGGTAATTGAAAATGTTTACTGATTAAATGAGTTGTTAGATGTGTTTTAACTAGGTATTAAAGTGGGTCGATTTCTGGCTTTAAAATCCACGTTATTCATAATATTATTGTTTTTAAAATAACTAATTCACTCGAAATTGTTACATCTATTTTAGGTTGTTTATC